CTTAGTCAGTCTTTCACTACCATAGATCTCTCGATCTACTTCCCTTCACTTTTCTCCCATTTTTCTTGGACGGTTGACAGTGACCCATGGGGCAGTGATAATTTTCTTCTCGTATTGAGGGAGGTTGGCCATGGTTGATTCCATCCAACCTGAGTGCCACAGTGGAAACTGGACCAGGCTGACTGGCCCTCTTTCACTGCTCTCTCTGAACTTGATCCTGCCATTGTCTATCTGCCATCTATCGACAACTGTGTGGTAGCAGTGACTGACTGTATTGTCCAGGCAGCTGTTCACTTTATTCCTAGGGCCTAAGTTTTCCATGACATCCTCGTCCATGGTGGAGTCCTGCCTGCCAGGAGGCATGGAATGCTCAAAAACAGGCCTGGGATACCTTCTGCTGGTATCCCTCTCTTTCTAACCACAAAGTTTATCAGCAGGCCCATGCCCATGCTCGGCAGGTTTGACATCAAAGCCAAAGGGAGTCTTGGATGAAGTTTACTGCTAGCATCTCTTCTACCACCGGTTTCAAAATCATATGGGACAAGATTTGGAAAGTCACTTGGAGGATCCTTCCCATCCCCTTTCTATCTTGCTCTCCAATTGCTAGGAAGTTGCTGATGTCCAGAGCATTGCTGATGCTCTCAGCCACAGCTTTTCTCATGCTTCTAGCACTTCTGTTTCTTCCCCTGCTTTCTTGGCCATCAAGTCTCAGGCAGAGTGATTACCTCTTTCCTTTCGGGCCGATCATCTCTGACTCTAATTGCCCTTTTACACTGGTGGAACTCAAACTTGCTCTTTGTCGGTCTGGCAGTACATCGGTCGAACCTGATAATGTTCATTATGAGATGCTGTGCCATCTCTCTCTTGCTGATCTTCTGGTTATTTTTAACCGGATCTGGCAAGAGCATGTTTTTCCTGATGTTTGGTGCCAGACTATTGTCCTCCCTTTCTCTAAACCTGGGAAAGATCCCAAGATTCCTTCTAATTATCATCCCATCTCTTTGACAACTGTCTTTGAGGATGGTTAATGCTCATCTTGTTCGGTTCCTCAATTCAAACAAGCTCCTCTTGCCCACCCAGTGTGGGTTCCCTCGACAGCGCTTACCATAGACCGTCTGAATCGACCTGAAACATTGATCAGGGAAGCCTTCCTCAAGAGAGGACATCTTTTTTCCCTGTTCCTTGATCTTGAAAAGGCTTACAACACTACTTGGGGGTATAGCATTTTGCTGGACCTCCACTCCTGTGGGTTACGTGGCCATCTACCTATTTTTATTCAGAACTTTTTACTGGACAGGTAATTCCAAGTTTTTGTGGGTTTGACTCTTTCCTGTTCCTTTCCACAGGAACTTGGAGTGTCTTGAGCATCACACTTTTTAGTGTCAAAATTAATGCTACTATTGCAAATGGGCTCTATGTCGACGACTTCCACATCTCATGTTGGTCGTCGAACATGAGGTTTATTGATCAGCAGCTTTAGACTGCCCTCAATCACTTGTTGACAAATAGTTTAACTTTCTCTTCCTATAAAACCATTTACATGCATTTTTGCCACCAATGGGGTCTCCACCCCGATCCCGAGCTCCATGTGGTCTCTGAGGCAAAGTTCTTGAGGCTTATCTTTGACCATAAGCTTGCTTTTCTTCCACATATCAAGCAGCTATGTGTAAAGTGTGCAAGGGCACTGAACATCCTCCATGTCCTCTCTTCCACCTCTTGGGTAGCAGATCGATGTTCTATGCTCATGATCTATTGTGCCCTGATTCTATCCAAGCTGGGCTATGGGTCTTTGGTCTATGGTTTTGCCAGGACCTCGGCCTTGAAGATGTCGGACCTCATTCCCCATCTGTGGCTTCGGCTCTGCACCGGGGCTTTTTGCACTTCTCCAGTCTAGAGTTTGTACACTAAGTCCTAGGAATCTCCTCTTCACCTCCGTTGTTTGCAACTTTCTCTACAATATGCTACGAAGCTTTGATCCTTACCACAGCATCCCACCTGGGATTGTGTCTTTCTTCCTCGGTGAACCATGCTCTTTCAGAACAGACGGTCTGCAATTTCTCTCTTTAGCCTTCGTATCCATGCACAACTGGCTGAATTGGGTCTGGTATTGGATGACATTGCTGTCCCCAATAATCAACCCATCCTGCCATGGCTTATTACCATCCCCACCTGTGAACTTTCTTTGAGTCATCTGAGGAAGGTGGTTACTCCCGATTGGAAGTACCGTCTTCTATTTGCTGAATATCTTTCGAACCATCTTTCTATTCCCATTTACACAGATGGTTTGAAATCGGGTACCTCTGTAGGCTCTGCCACGGTTTGCCGTAGTTGCTTGTAAGATCCCCTCTACAGTTTCTGTGTTCACTACCAAGTTGTATGCTTTTTCTCTTGCCCTGAATCACGTAGAAGCTATGCAGTACAGCGATTGTACTATTTACGCTGATTCTCTTAGCTCTCTACTGGCCATGGAATCGCTTAACGTTAGTTCTCACCCTGTTCTTGTCAATATTCAGTAATGACTTGCTCATTTTTCTCTATCTTTTCTTTCCATCCAGTTTTTCTGGATACCTAGCCATGTTGGTATTCATGAGAACGAGCTCATTGACACCACAGTTAAGTCCGTTTGCTCTGGCTCGTCATGGCTGTGCCTGTCTCATACATGGACTACAGGCCTGTATTGAAGGCACGGCTTTGTGCCAGTTGTTAGTCGACTTGGGGTGACCAATGTCATAACAAGCTTTTCCAGATCAAATCATCTGTTGCTCTTTGGCCATCTTGCTTCCATAAGAATCGGAAGGAGGTAGTTGTCCTGTCAAGGCTAGACATTGGTCACAGTTTTTTAACTCATCGTTTTCTTTTACCTGGTACTAATCCACCAATGTGTAGCCTTTGTGACAGTCAAATCATATCAGCCTACGTTTTACTTTCATGCCATTGTTAACAACTGTGAGCGGCGGCACCATTTTAGATGCATGTTTTGTAAAGGTTTACCCCTGATGTTGGACAGTGTCACTAACGATGGTGACATTGTCCAACTTGATTGTATTTTCAATTTTTAAGAACAATTGGTCTTTTTAATTCTTTTATCTATTTGGACATATTTTGGTTTTAACTCAATTTATTTTAATATTTTACTATAATTTACTTTTACTGTTTTTACCGGTTGTTTGGCGCAGATAGCCTAGTTGCTTTGTGCCATAAAACACCAAACAATCAACCAACCAACCAACCAACCAAAAGATTCAGTGATGCCCTTACAGTCAGGAAAGTTTTAAACTGTTGAATGGTGTAGCAAGGAATTACTCCCTTCATTCTTCTCTGTGTCTAGTGCATTAAATATGTTTATTATACATGTTGCACATAAATCTATCTTTTACAGAAATAAAAAAAAAAATAAACTACACTTCAGTTCATGTAACATTAATAATCAGAGCTGAGTACAGGTCAGTGAAGCTGTAGTAGGGCAGTGCTGTTCCATTGGCTATGACAACAAAGATTGATCTAGTGACTTCTCTTTTGCTCTTTCGAATTAATCTACTTGGTTATTTATGACCTTTCTTACCATTGTAAAAATCTAATAATGTTTAAATTTCAGTGGTGTATTGCCATTTTACTGTAATTTATATGTACAAAATGCTCTTTTAGTTCCAGATTTGCAAATTTATAATTCCTCCTTTTAACACCCAGTCTGTGAATCAAGGAGACCTTTGGTGGGTTGATTTCCAAACAAAACTTTTCAGCTTTTTTTTCTCTTATATCTGAATAGAAATTTGAACTCCTTGTGATATCTGTAATTGGAATTTCCCACTATTTTGATTGAATTCACTCTAGTTTCCAGAGAAAGTAAAATCCATACCCGAATCCAAAATCCTGCACAAAACACAGTAGTGGCCACACATGTTGGACAGTACAAAATCTGATTCTTTAGCTACATAAAGCCATTTTCTCTGCAGTTTTATTGAGTTCTATCAATAGAGATGGTCAAGGAAGGCTCAACAAAGCATACTTTCCACTTTAAAGTGGCTAAGTGAAGTACCTACTCTTTTGTGCAAAAAGAACACAGTCTGGCCAACTCCTTAAACTTTAGATGTTTGTGGCCAATCACTATTGAGAGGTGAGTATTTTTGGCAGTAAAGTATTTTTTGAGGTTAAAAGAGCAAACATTTTATCAGAGAACATGTTTTTTTTTGTTCTAAGTTGAATACCAGAAACTGTGACACCTCTCTGTAGCCCATCGAATCCCCTGAATTCTGTGTCACTGACTTGCAGACTGGATGGTATCATTATACAGAATAATTGCCATAATACCGTGTATAAGTGTATGTAATGCTTTATTAATATAGAGATGCCTTTTACAGTTTATATTTTAGGTATTCTTAGCTCAAAAATCAATTACAACTAAACATTTTTCCCATTACAGTAACTTCCCACAATTAACACAATAATGAATATAATAATGTTTCTAGTAGAAAATCTTGAATGTATAAAAGCTGGTGAAGTAAGAAAGCTGTAAAAATATTCTGAAATACCTCTGTGAAAATCTTAATTAAATGCACCCCCCAGTGGCACAGCAGTATGTCTGCGGAGTTACAACACTAGAAACCGGGTTTAGATACCTATGGTGGGCAGAGCACAGATAGCCCATTGTGTAGCTTTGTGCTTAACTACAAAAAGCAAACTTAATTAAATGCAGGTTTTTTTTTGTTTTGTTTTTTTCACTGTACATGCCTTGGGCAAGTAATTAATGTTGAAATGTAAAACCCACCATGATATGGTATGAAATATCTATGCTGTATTATAAAGATTGCATTATAGTGTTGATTGATCAAATTTGAAGATATGCTGAGATTTAAATTGTTATTGTATATTTAATATTAACCACTTATAAATATTTGAAACCAAATGTTTCCATCAGTCATCTCATTTGTTTACTTGTATTTGTTGTCTATGTGTTTATTCACATTGTTAGAGATTTATTGATTTCTTTAATTTTTTTGCAGGGGCTAATGTGTAATGAGAATTCACCTCTAAAGGAATTCTACCCTAGTGAGTTTAAAACTGACCTCAATGGAAAATTACAGGAATGGGAAGCAGTGGTACTCATCCCTTTTATTGATGAGGTAAAGCAAGCACAAGATATGTTCTGTCAATTACATGTTCTTATTGAGGTTATGTACAGTACAATTTCAATAATACTCATCCATTTTATTGATGAGGTAAAGCAGCTGCAAAACATAATAAATTAATAGTATTCAATATTTTTCAGTAGTTTTTTTTTTTTATGAAAATTTTAGTTTTATCTTATAATTAAGTTTCTGCACTTTTTTCAGCTTAACCAGTATATAATGTCTCTTTCATGCTTTGAGGTGTTTTCTTAATTGAACATAAACTCATTGGAAATTTTAATTTTTTGTTATCTTCTAAAAATTATAATTTCTCATCTCTGGTATGAGAACTTTTCCTGAACTTAGAAATCAGATTAGAGAATTTTCCTTTCTATAAATTGAAGATATAATAAGCTAGCATTGTTTCTTAAATTGCTGTTTGATACTGTAATGTGTGGTCCTCTTATATAAGAAATATTTACAGTTATGTAAAACTATTATATAAATCCTAACCATGCATGATACAGCAAATTCACTTATATGTATTTTTGTTTTGTTACAAATGAAAGTACAGTTTTTACCAAATTATTATTGATAGTTATGTTTAATAGGGAAAAAAAAATTCTTCATGTTGGTGACTTCTTGATATTATTTTTTCAAGCATATGTCATAAGTCTAATTTTTGATAATGGTGTCTCCCATTTGGTCAGTACAACTTATCAGACTTTTATTAATTTATTATATAAGCAGAATTTGTGTGTTTGATATTTAACTGGGAAAGCATTAAGTGTTATAATGAAAATGCTTTAATTAATAATTTTTTTACAATAACTGGTTAAAAATTTGAATTTTACTCATCCTTTTGTTGTCAGAAGAAACTTCTTAGTAGTATGGAACCATTGAAAGAGCTTCTTACGGTTGATGAAAAACAACGAAACAGACATGGCCCTCATCTTTTGTATACATACACAGAAGAGTCTCTTGGTACCTATCCCTCATCACTTCCTGCTCGGTTCCCAGATATTCATGACAATCATGCTCAGTAAGTCAGTTAATATATTATTAAAATATTTTAGGTATTTTTAGTAAAAATCTTTGTTTTGGTTACTGATTAATGTTTCTAGTCGAGTTTTTATGCCTGTATAGACCTACCAGCGTGTAGCTTGTTACATCACCTACTGGTAAATTTAGCAATCAAGAAATAAATTGTGTATGGTGGTTTTCTTAACAGTTGTTTTCCAATTCACATTATCTCTATGTGACCCCAAATTGACCTTTATAGTTTCCATACTATAACTTCTAATAATTTTCAAGCTTTCAGTAAGCATTAAGAGTCCTTTTTATTCAGAATTTTTAATGAAGTATTTTCACTATAAATTTCTCTGGGAATATATTGAGTCCAAGTGTTGACTGCTCTAAGTGCAAAGTGATTTTCATGTTATGATTAAAGATACTTTTTTTCATCTAAAATTTACCTGGCATGGCCAGGTGGTTAGGGCGCTTGACTCGCAATGTGAGGGTCACGGGTTAGAAATCTCCATCCACTAAACATGCTCGCCCTTTCAGCTGTGGGGGTGTTATGATGTGATTGTCAATCCCACTACTTGTTGGCAAAAATAGTAACCCAAGAGTTGGTGGTGGGTGGTGATGACTAGCTTCCTTCCCTATTGTGTTTCACTGCTAAATTATGGATGGCTAGCACAGATAGACCTTGTGTAGCTTTACACAAAATTCCAAACAATCCAGTCCAATCATCTAAAAATTGTCAAATTTTGTTTGTATAATCTTTAAAACCATCTAAATAAATTTCATAGATATTTTTTTCTGTAAAATTTTATATTTTATCTAGCCTATCTCTATATGAGGTTGGTCAGTTTGATGAACCTCATAACCGCCATGAAAAAATATTAAATAGATCCAAATAACCCTTTTTTCTATCTAAAATGACTTAAAATGCTAACATGAAACTACATTTGTTAATCCCAAGTAACTTTAAACTTGTAATAGCATACGTATGTTTCTACTTAAATTTTATTGTTTTATTTCTCTTGTAACTGTCTAATTAATAATCCCCCCCACAAGTTCTAAATCACTTGACAGATATGTAGTTCATGTTATCCTATCAAATTACATAATGTACGGGGTACTCTCGATTTGCTCACAAGCATAATTTGTGAAAATTATCTTTTTTTTTCTTTATTTTATCTAATATAACCTTATCCAACCTAAAAAGTTTCGAGTTTTTACGTTTTAGTTAATTTTATAATAGTAAATAAGGAATACACATTCTTTGCTGTTGAGTGTAAAAAGCAGACATTGTCTTGAACTGAAAGGGAAATTGACAATTCTCTTTACAGAAAATAAGGTAATATAATATGTAATTTGATATATAAAAACCTTGGCTCTCAATTGGTTGTACCCCTTTAGGTGGATTTCTGTACGTGGTGAGGGGGACCTCCCAGGGAAAGTTCTGTATTTTCAGTTACCTCCTCTGGGATCTAAACATCCACCCATGTTTTTGCCGTGCATGGTGACCCGTGAATGGGAGGAGAGGATCTTGGTGGTTGAGTGGTGTCTGGGGCACTGCAACACACCACTTTGGTCTTGATTTCCTGTAGACAGGTAGCCTTGGGGTGCCTCCCCCTCAAGTGTCAATCGGCTGGGTCTTTCAGGCTAGGGTCAACTGAGTACCAGTGTTGGGTGTTCTGCAGTGTCCTTGTTTGATATTGTAGTGTGTCCCCTCATAGGACTCCATGGTGGGTGGGGTCAGTGAGCACTAAATCTTTCTCTTTATATTATGGATCCCCCAAATCCAAACAAAAATAAAAAATTAAAATAAAAAACACTCATTGGTAAACGACCATGCCTTGAAGACTCCAAACAGCAGTCTCCACCACATTGTGCTACTGTACCTCATTTCCTGATCCTGCATTCACTGTCTGATAAATCTTTAGGGCAAATGTCTCCCTTTTTTATACAGAAGGGATTATAGGGGCTTGCTGGCTCCACAAAGTTAGTTAAGAAGCTCTCTTCTGGAGACATCTTGGTGGAAACATCCACAGCTAAACACAGTTAACTTCTCCTGAATTCCAAGGCCATTGGGGATATACCCATTGAGGTTACTCCCCATGCTTTTTTGAATTCCTGATGAGGAGTCATTGTTGAGAGGGACTTGAAGAACATCCCCGAGTCAGAGATCCTCGCTAGTTTCTCCAGCCAACGAGTTTCAGTAATTCGAAGAATCTTCACTCGTCAAGATGGAATTATGGTGTTGATCAATGTTCTCATTTTGATGTTTTCATTGCCATGTTCACCTGCTGTTGTTAAGGCAGGTTCTTTGAACTGTAAGGTACAGCCATATATTCCTAACCCTCTCCGATGTTTCCAGATCAAACCTTCTGTTGCTGTGTGGCCATCTTGTTTTCATAAGGACTGGAAGGAGGAGGTTGTCCTGGCAAGGCTACCCATTGGTCACAGTTTTTTAACTCATTGTTTTCTTTTACTAGGTACTGATCCACCAATATGTAGGTTTTGTGACACTCAAGTCTTGAGAGCCAATATTTTACTGTTGTGCTGTCATAACGACTGTGAGTGGCGGCACCGTGGTGTGCATCATATCCAAGAAACAATTACTTGACATCCATCATTAGCTCTATCAACATAGGGTTGGTCAATTTGACCAAGTCACGTGACCTTTTCTACTCGTTTAAAGTCTTTATAAATTTAATACTTATATCTCTCAATATATTGGGTACATCTTCACGAAATTTGGCAGTCTTTCACATACAAAAAATCATACTTTTTGGTGAAGTATTTTTAATAAAATAAAATAAAGAT